TTTTGGGTCGGACCTTTGGGTCGGACCTTTTGGGTCGGACCTTTGGGTCGGACCTTTTGGGTCGGACCTTTGGGTCGGACCTTTTGGGTCGGACCTTTTGGGTCGGACCTTTGGGTCGGACCTTCAGCTCTGAGTTTGAGTCGTGATCTAAAGAAAAGTCACTGTGAACATTCAAACAGCGGGCCAGCTGGAGGCTCAGGTCCAACGGGCCAGAGCTGGTCCCTGTCAGTGAGACCTTCACTGCCTCGTTAAGGAGCTGATGTCAGCACTTTTTAATGAACTCCTTTTGAGCAGAGTGGTTGTAAAGTGAGCCGATCATGTGTTGGACCAGAGGACCAGAACCTGTGTAGAACCAGTCCTTGTGCTGTTTGAAGGTTTTGTGAAACATTCCCGGTAGTTTTGTTATATTGTTTGTTTTTCTTTTCTTCACTCCTTGTACGTCACTATGAACCGTTTTTAACCTTTAATCAAACAGAGCTTCTAGATTTTTAAATGAACATTTATTTAAAAAGTAGACGTGGGAGAAATCAGAGTTATAATTTTAAGGAAATGTTTTATGTTTATGAAGCCATAGATCGAAGGGTTGTGCCACTTCAGCCTCAACTTTTACTTTAAGACAACAAAGACACAGAAAGTGGGCGGTTCTTACACACTGCAGTGTCCACATCAGACTGTCCACCTGTCCAACCCTGAGTCAGACAGCGGCCCCCCTGCAGGGGGCTGAGACCACCGTCTGTCAGAAGTGACAGGTGAAGAAACGATGCTGGCAGTTTACTGTTTTCAACTTTTGGGATGTCCAAGTTTTCTGATCTGGAAGCTGCAATAAAAGTTTTGGAACAACACAAAGTTTCACCTTGTTTTATTTTCACCTGCCTGAAAACAACAGGTGGCTGATGCTTGTGTCAGAGTCTGTTAGCAAAATATCCCATGAATCTGAACAAATCTGAGTCAAACTCTGTAAGTAATTATTAGCAGGTCTTTGGATGTACATGTACAACAGTTTTTATAAACTTAGTTAGCATTAACTGAGCTGTGCTCCAGTGGTGGTAATATTTTAAATTTGATGTGAACAAGTTATTTGATTTATCAGAGAAACTTTAACTTCGTGGCAATAATTAAACTTTTTCTATTAATCAAAAGGAAAAAATCAGTAAATCCTCTGGATGGTTCTTTAGTGAAACGTTTCATCTCTCCTCCAACAGACTTCTTCAGTCTGATGAGTTTCAGGTGAATTCAGACTTATAAGCTCCGCCTCCACATGGACAAACAGGTTCGTCACATGCAAAAGATGGTCATCAGCTAACAATAAGTCGTTAGTGCCTTTATTAGCTCTATTGTTCATAGAAAGTCGTACCCTGTTTTGGAAATCTTTATTTAACAGACAGAAACATGTGGTCCAGTAATAAGAAGTTCTCTGTGGAAACGGTCGTCTGAGTTTTATTGCAGCTGCAAGGAACAAAAAGCTTAATGCAGTTCTGAAATCAGTCCTGCACCAAACTAGTTGTGCAAAGAATCAAAGTTTGAAACTTCCTTTTATACCTGATATCTGTATGTTTACAAAAACTGACAAAAAGTAACATCCTGACAAATTGTTCCCGTAGGGGTGATGACCTCATACCTTACCCTGATGGTACAAAACATTACCTGTGAGATAAATCCTGAAACTTACAGACTGGAAGACATTTGGGTCAGAAACACAGGTCTGAAGTATGTGAGATGGAAGGTAAGTTATTTTTCCATGAGATGCTCCATGACCTGACTATCGTTAGGGCTCTGATTCACACCTTCTGCTCACAGGGGGCGGAGTCATACTTACAATAACAGCACTGTAGGAGGAGGACAACTGAAAACAGAGGCCTCCACCTCTGTTTAATGATGGACAGTTTCACTTCACAAAAATGGCTTCTTTTACTCCTCTCTCAAACCAACGTTCCTCTCTATCAAGAATGAGAACATCNTAAATTATACTATAATTAAAGATGAGCCGTGCAAATTTATGTTTGTATCAAGTAGCCCTTCGTCGGTACCCCCAAAGTAGCTAAAGTGTGGTGACCCCTGTAGAATAATCTAGTCCAGGTTTGAAAAGTCTTAAGTATTTTAGTTTCTAAATTAGAGCAGATTAAAAAGCGCTCAAGGTAGTGAGAAATTAGTTTAAATCACCCTTTAGACATTCCCCGAATCTGAAGCTGGAATCAGAAACAACCTTTAGCTTTGTCTCATAGATCGTATGTGTTTTTTTTTTTTTTTGTGTAATGTTCTGTTTGCAGCTCACTGTGTTTCATTCCAGGTGACAGGAAGTGGGAAAACATTAGCTTTCGTTATTCCTGTTATAGAACTGCTMCTGAAAAGAGAAGAAAAACTGAAAAAGAAGCAGGTAAACATCCTAAATCTATACTCTGAGAGCTAACACATCTCGCATATCACATGACATTGCACATWCTCACTGACACCGGTAAATATCTAGGGAATATATATTGAGACAGTGGACCCTTACCTGGGTGTTCACCTGAACAATAAACTGGACTGGACTCACAACATGGATGCYCTTTACAGGAAGGGTCAAAGCAGACTTTACCTGCTGAGGAGGCTGAGGTCCTTGGGAGTGCAGGGGGTGCTCCTGAAGACCTTCTTTGACTCTGTTGTGACTTCAGCCATCTTTTATGGCATTGTAGGTTGGAGCAGCTGAGATGAAGCGGTTGGATAAGCTCATCAAGAAGGCCAGCTCTGTGCTAGGATGCCCCCTCGACCCAGTACAGGTGGTGGAAGACAGAAGGGCTCTGGCTAAAATAACAGCAATGACAGAGGGTGTCTCCCAACCCATGCATGAAGCTGTTGCTCATCTACAGAGCTCATTTAGTGACGGACTGCTGCATCCTAAATGCACAAAGGAGCATTACCAAAAATTCTTCCTCACAGCAGTTGTTAGACTCTATAACCAGCACTGCTCCCAACAAACTCAATAAGCATCCATGCTTGTGTTTGCACATCAACCGACTCTGCTCACAGTTATTACATAAACTAGATACCGCATAGCGGTAACATAATGACCCCCGCACGCATAAATGCACCAGAAATCAGAAGTCTTTATTCCTAATAAAGGTAATGCTACTAGGTGCATCCCAAAATTGTAGTGGTTTGGGTAGGAGTCTTTTTTGGGTGGGTGGGGTGGGGGGAGCATTGGTCAACCTGACGGATAGCCCCTCATCAGAGCTAAACAACCAAAGAAAATCTGAAGCTCCTATGTTTAATAGTTTTTGAGCAATTACCATATTTCTATGTCCAGATAACACTTTTTCAGAAAAATTGGGGGTCCAGGGGGGTGGGGGCACTGATTGGTGGGTCTGGTGGATAGAGCTTCGTCAGAGCTAAACAACAAAAGAAATCTGACGCTCCCTATGTTTAATAGTTTTTGAGCAATAACCATTTTTGTATGTCCAGATACCCCTTTTTCAGAAAAATTGGGGGTCCAGGAGTGGGGGGGGACACTTCTCTACAAGTAGATAAGATAATATAAAACTTTATTGATCCCACAGTGGGGAAATTTGCACATTACAGCAACTCAAAACAGGACAGGGTTAGTTAGAATAAAGAAAGATAATTAAAAGAAATACAAAAAACACTATACTCGTGGTATATAACAATGTAAATATACCTAGTACAGTAAATAAATGAATGTATATGAAGGTGCATATTAGTG